TTCAGGATCTGTAAAACTGCATAATAGGAAGACAAGGCATGTATTTTGCCTGTAGGTTTTATAGATACATAGTAATAGGAAAAAGAACAGTAAAACTACAAAATCCTGTGTTCAAATTTTATGCTCTGCACACACTTCTTATGCAATCATTTTGGCCAGTCCTAATTTCAAGTTTTTCTTGCCTCTCTCTGTTTTTATTCCTGCTTTCCTTTCCTAGACTACATCCTTACTTTTCAGGCTCCCATTCTGCCTCTAAACTCCAATCTTAATCTAATTTTAAACCAGATCCAGTCCTTCAATTACAGTTTGTCACTTAAATACCATACTCAGGCTCTGCAATCCCACCATACTCAGCTTTCTTGATAACTTTTTACAGACCTTACTGCCTTTGCTGTCTTTGAACCTTAGTTTCCAAGAGAATTTTAATCCAAATTCAGTCTCCCTCTTCAATATCTTCTCCCGCTATAAAATCCCAAGATTTTAGTTGTTTTTTTTTTAATCTGGACAAGATTGTCTCTTGAAGTTATTAGCAGCAAACCTGATTTTTCTCTTCAGTCTCTTGCTCCCAATCTCTTGGTCCTGAAGTTCCCTTGCACTGCCAGCCTCCCTTCCCCATCGTTCTGTCAAAAACATAATCTGTACAATCTCCTACCCATCTTTGCATGGCATGAAGACCTCAGCTCTCTTCAGCACTCTTACAAGGACCGAGTAGAACAAAGGGATGACAATAAGTTTGCCAGATGGCAGCCCGACAAACATAGCTAAGACTGGTTGGGCTGGTAAGTCATTTTTGTCCATTGCAATTGGTTGTAGCTGTCTTACCCCGTGATATTACCAATACAGAGAAAAGCTTATCAATTATTGTGAAGGAGTAGAATAATGCTGGCAAAATGAAAGCAGCACAAGCTTCAAAGAAAGGAGGCTGCTCTACATCCCTTTTGTCATTATATTCTGTATTTATCTTGTAACAATTTTGTCAACATAAAGACATATGCCACCAGAAGTCTACAGCGGCAGTATATAACTAAGTACAACGATAGTAATTTCAGTGAAAACTAAAGATAAAACATCCCTTCTCTGATGGCACAGTTGAAGAATTAAGTCCAAACAGACAAAGCCAGAGTGCATTCTGTTATGGGTAAAACAAGCTTATCATGGCAGCATCAAAGGAGATGTATTGTACTTTCAAATACAACAAATGAAACAAGGCAACATTGTGACCTTGATCATCTTAATGGTTTAGTGTAGCTATCTACAAATGTCCAAAGGTTTGTCTTTGTAGGAGCAGAATTTATAAAATTTATGGAGGCTTTAAATACCACTGCTTTGAAATTCTTACTATTCTGGTATTTTTCAAAAGTGCATGGGCTTTATTTGGCATGCAGGAGTTGTGCAGGAGCAGTCACTGTGCAGGACTGCTTCAACACCCCCGAAAACCCAAGATAGTTCAGATCTCATCAAAATAGACAGCCTCTCATCCTTCTAAATTTACCAGAAGGGCTGGCTTCTGTAAATGGTTCAGCTAGCTAAAGCTTCCCCAGGACACCACATGCTCTCCTGACACTGATACTCTCCTCTCTCTTTTCTTATCCACTGCCAGCCTTCCTGCTGCCAAGGGAAACAGAAAACCAGTCCCCACCTCTCTCTGAGCAGAAGATATTCTGCAGCCCAAAACAACAGAAAGGAGACATATGAAAACCAGAATTGCACCTCAGTTAAAACTGTGACACTTATTTTTAATACTAATTCTATTCCCCTTTCCATTATCTCTGCTAACCTCTTCAAAACTCAAAAATAATTTATTTCCCCCTACTGATTTTGTCATTTCCATTTGACAAAAATTGATCCCCTTGCACCCCTCTGTTTCCAGCTAAAACTAATGCATTTTTAATTTGCTTCCTTTGAGCCCTAGCAAGATCAAAGATAGGGACAAAGCTCTGGGAATTTTTCAAAATTTGTCCTTAGTAGTCTGATAACAGAACAAGTGTATTCTGAATTTTATTGTTTATTAATTTCCAGTAACAGAGGAGTGGATATATAAAAGGGTGAAAATAAAATAGACTTTTGAAAGCTTTATAAACAGCAGTTAATGAGAATCTTCAACTAATTCAAGACACTCTTAACTCATTAAGTTTCACTTTCGACTGCAGTAATATGGAGTGTATATTATTATTATTATTTAAAATTCTACATATTTTCTCACTGAGACAGATAGCCACTAATCTCTTCAAAAAGCCATGTTGTACACCAAAGTGTACAATAAATGTACAGAAGCAAGCTTGCCCTATCTGATGAAGATAAACAGATTTACTCATCATATTCACTCCCTTAACACCCACTTTCAAGAAATGAATTAGCCAGTATTTTCAAAAGCCACACAGAGATTCTTCCAGTCTGTGAAGAAAGTCACTGTTGGCAAATATTTTCCTGATGAAAATATTGAGGATGACAGGCAAAGGTGGTATGCCTAAAAGTCATACAGATTTTACTGTCATATACAGGTAGTAACTGAAGTGATCACAAATGAGTAGGACTGACAGTACTTAAGTAGTTTTGGAGCTTTGTACTTCTCTAATTGCTGTGCCAGTCTGCTCTGTCATGGCACAACTAATTCAGAAAATGTTAATGTGCTTTTTTCATGCAGCACTACCTTTGTGCATTTGTCAGTTTGGATATTGTTTGCAAAAAATTCTATTTTCTGTGCATCCATAGAAAGAAAGAAAATTCTTTGGCTGTAAACCACATCTGCAGAAAATGGAAATGTCATTCTTGCAAGACATAAGTAAAGAATGCCATGTTTTTCAGTCAACTCCTAAAAACATTTTATCTATCCTGGCAAATAAAAGACAGAAAATATATGACTAGTAAACACTTATCATGGACAGCTGATTTGTTTTACATAAAGAAAACTGTTGTACTTCATGATTCATGCCTGTGATTTGGAGTGAGATATCTAAATAAAGAATTCTTTAAAGTTTACAGAACAAAATGTATTATTGACTTAATTTCAGAATATTGAAGAAGGTGGCCTAATAGCCTTGATGTTTGTTCACTCAGAGCAAAGCAGCTCATTGGTCACCATCCAGATGTTTGACCTTTATACTGGTCAGTGTCTTTTTAATCTTAAATAAAGATCTTAAATAATTTATAATATCTAGCTATGCATAATCAATTGCAATTTGCAGCTGGTGATGAGCCCCTTGAAGAACAGGGGCAATACAGAATTTGAGGATTATATTTAAGTAACAGATAGTGAAATTTAATATTGAATAGCAACTTGCAGAGCTAAAATGTAATGTTTAAAAAAAAGGAGACAAAATCTCAGTGACAGTCCATTGAAGTACCTGTTCACTCTCATTTGAAATAGTATGTAGTGGAGAAATTATAAAATTCTGAGGATAATAAAGGTTTATGAAGTAAAAGCTTTTATGTGTTAGACTGTAGTGTCTTGTGTTGTGCAACTTCACTAATTTAAAAATATTTGTACCGATATAGATGAAAACACATTTCCAATGTAAAATTTCATTTCTCAGGAAGGTAAAATCCTGGTTCATCTTTGCTAAAAAACTTTAATATAGGAAGTGTAAGATCCTTGAAAAAAAAATTAAAAACAAATATGTAAAAGACTGTGGTAGTATAAACTGGTATGTTACAGTGGGCTCTTCACACATGTGCAAAAAGGAGGGTTTGCATTTCACTCGACCCAGAGTATCCTGGTTTTGGTGTAGAAATTTTTTATAATTTTAGTTAGTTTTAAGATATTTTGTATTTATTCATCATTATTTTTTACAAAGAATGATAATGAACTAGAGCAAACCTGACATGACTGAATAGGAGGGGGAAGTACTAGGTGGTTGTGTTGTTGTGGTGCCAGAGTAATAGATCCAGTTCCAGACACAGCATGTAATTCCTTAATAACCTCAGACATAAATCCTCTTAGAAACTGAGTTAACTCTCTCCCTGTCTATCTAAAGTCCATTCCTTCTAAGGGAATGATCTATCCCATTGTGACAGACTCCTTACATATTGTAATTGTGGAAAATAGCATAGTGCTACCAAAAAAATAATTAACAATAGAGCTCTTTTATGACCACACATAGGGGAAAACAGAGGCATCTGACAAGGTTTTGGAACATAGTTTTACTTAATTTGGTTATATATAACTCTTTATTGTTTATTAGAATAAAACTATTCAGATGCACATAGGAGCTGTGCTTGGCACTTCTGCTCACTCTATAAAAATATTAATTTTGGTTTTCTGTTGCATGCACATTTCTCATGAGGTTTTTACCAGCAAAATGTTTTCCATTCAGTGTTTTTCCATTTTTTAATAAAATCATCTGATAAAAAGTACTTCATGTATGAAAAGAAGCTTAATGGGAAAAATATCATGAAGAGCTGCACTAGTCCTAAGCTGAGCCTAATCCTTTACAGAAAATGTGCTGTGCCAAAAATGGCAGACAGCTATTGTGGTTCAAGTCTGATCAGTCTTAGAGTAAACTTATGCAATTTCAATGATAATTAGAAACAGGAAGCTGTAAGCAGCACTTTCTATTGCCTCATCCTCAATTTACTCAAAGGAGTAAAACACCAATCTCTGAGAAATTTGCAGGTAACACCCATGTCTCAGCCAGTCATGATCAGCAAACATTTCATAAAATGCATCTACCAGAAGGAGACCTCTGGATGCTGAAGCATTAGCTTCATATTAGCTAATTCATTAGCTAGCATACTAGGAGGGAGCTGAGATCCAAATTCACTTTGACATTTCACAGCCAACTCCACTGTCCACCTCTTATTATAAAGACTGGAGGGCTGGTGCTTGAATCCAACTCTCAGAGACTAAACAAGAAACCAAAAAGCCCTAATATCAAGCTATTCAGGATCTTTGGATGTGACACATGAACAGTCACCACTGCTACGGCCATCCAGGATAGGTATGAAAGCAATTAGAAAATTGTATTAACAAGTTAACGAGAAAAGAATCTATTTCCCCTCACCTTCTTCTTCATTTTTACATTTTTGAAAATTGCATGGACTCTCCACGTTTTTGCAAACATTGCTCCAAATGCAGTTGTGTATCCCACTGTAAGAATCCATGTTCGGACCTAAAAAAGTATGTACATAAAAAGAAGACAGAGTTACTTAGATATCATAATTTCAGACAATTTTTTTGTCAAGACTCTGAGGAAAAAAAAAAATCTGAAGAACTTCACAAAACTTAGTATTTAGTAATTTCTCATTGCTTGCTTGCTTGCTTTCTTTTTTACTCATTGGTCCATTCCCTCCCAAACCAAAACAAATCTGGATACTGAATTAACTATCTCTTTCATATATAAACACACAAATCTCTTAAAATATTCTCTGTGGGATTTTTTTGTTTTAGTTTTTTTTGTTCTGTTTGTTTTGTTTTGGTCTGGGTTTTTTGTTGTTGGTTTTTTGGTTTTTTTGGTTTTTTTTTTTACTTTTATTGTGTTCTTTGCAGATAGAGAAGAGAACTAATGGAGAAACTCAAGAGACAGACTATAAAAAGCACTCAGGGAGCTAATATTAACACCTACATTTTGAACAGAAATGAACAGAGAAAAAGAGATGTAATTCAGACTAAGTAAGAGAAGATTGTACTATGTGAGATACGCATCACTCGGCGAAAAACCTGAGCATCCTGGAAAGATAAGAACAACAGATTTTAAATTATCCTGCGAGAGAAAATGCCAAAACAGGAACACAGTTTTGGTTGGCAAGCCTCAGGAGCAATACCTGAGTCAATGATAATTCCTGCAAATGTGGCCTAAGAAAAAGGAGGTGGTGAGCTTGCACAGAGCAATGGTGTAATAGGACCTGAGCTGGCCACAGCTTTGACACATACAAAACAGAAGATTTTAAAACTAATATAGAATTTATGTATTTAGCATAAAAAAGAGACTAAGCTCCTTTCTTTTTATTTTTCTTTTTAATATAAAATCTTCTAATTGACCAAGAAGAACAGAACATGGATTAGAAAAGCTTTTTTGCATAGCATCTTGTACACAGGCCCTCACTTTCAGACTTGGTTTGAGCTGGGACAGTAACCCTCAGACTTGCAGTAAACTCTTTACATCTCTCTCTAATTCCTCGGAAGTTTCTGTTTATGTTACCATGCATGCAAGTTTGGCTGTTTGAAAACTTTTTTTTCCCCAAACAGGCCATTTTCTTTCCAAAGATGGATCAGAGACTACAAAAGCATAGCAGGTAGGAGGCCATGCAAGAGGCACAGCATGGAATTGGAAGCCAATAGCTGAGTCGGAGAAATCACAAAGAGGAGGAATAACCTCATCCTCCTTCTTGAGCCTCCCCATGCACCAGCCCATAAAAAGGGAGACTGCACAAAACTGAACAAAGGAGTAAAAAAACAATGAACTGTACCTTGCAGATGAAAAAACTGAAGGAGAAACAATGGCTAAATACAGGGAAAGGAAAGCGAGAAAAAAGGAAAGCCAGACTTCTTTTGGCCATGTTGACCATGCATGCTTAGCCAGCAGAGCTGTTCTGTGATATAAAAAAACAACCTGATTTAGAGAAACTAGGATGTTCTAAGAAAGCATTTGGGAAATATTCTTCAGAGAACCCAAAGGCAATGCCTTGCATTAGAAACTAGCCTAGTTTCTCATCTAACTTCTGGAGAGTTTGGGATTTTTAATTTGTAATTTCAGGATATGCATATTGATGAGAAACGAGGTGTTCTAGTAAGATTAAAAAACTGACATCTAAGATAAACCTTAGGAAGAATCTAAATGTTTCATATATAAATACATGCTGTCTATTCTTTGCCTTTCCAGACTTTTCCAGAATTTCCATTTTTGTATTCAGAACATGATCTTTTTTACACAAAATTTTCTGAGGAAAACAAATTCTGATTTTTAATAGTGTTTAGTTACTACATATAAGGGAAGGGAAAAGAAAAAAAATATACACTCATTCAGAATCTATTGAAAAAGCAATAAGATTACTGCAATTGCTTAAAATAAACAAATAAGACACATGTTGAATGTGAAAATGGTGAATTAGTAAGAGAAAAGTGTTTCTTCACTATGAGAGCTGTGAGGCACTAGAAGAGGTTGCCCAAAGTTGTGGATGCCCCATCTGTGGAAGTGTACAATGCCAGGCTGGATTTGGCTTTGAGCAGCCTGGTCTAATGGGTGGCATCGTTGCCCATGGCTGTGGAACTGGAACTAGATGATATTTAAAGTACCTTCTGACAAAAGCCATTCTAGGATTATATAAAAAGTACATGGAGCACCATGAGTCTTAACATTTGAAAATATTGTGATTGTGTATAGAGGACTGTTTAGATATTTGTATGTCTATATTAATGACTTAGAGTCATCTAATGTTGTGGTTTATTTGTTGCACTGCTGATAATGACCCTGAATGTAGAGTTGACTCATGGCTGGTTAATCTTGCTATTAATAAAACCAGTAAAATAACTGTGATTAGATTCGAACTACAGAAGTTTTGCCACTTTGTGACATTCTTGAATGTGATATTGAAAAATAAACCCCAAAACAAACAAACAAACAAGATATAGAAAAAAGAAATAGATATTTAGGTCAGCAAAGCATTATTTTTAACTTCAATATTTTTCAAGTCTTTGCTGATTAATATGCACTTGATATGCACTATCCTGCATTATGCTTCAGTAAAACCACAGTTAGATCAACTCTGAGGGATTTTAAAAATACTTTTCATATCATCATGTTCACACTAGCCAGTTACATTTTTTTTGACTTCACATCAATAACCATGCTTAGCATTCAATCCTTTTGCTGCTATTAATAAGTATTCAGCTCTTTTGTGTACAGCTTAGTGGTATATTTGGCAAACAGATACATGGTATTTTCGTGTCTCTAATAAGACTCTGTTTTGTTCTCACTGAAACAGTAATTGTCTCTTGGGAATACTAATAAATTCAATTATGCTCATAATATGTTTCTAACTGAATATTCAGAAAAATGTTATTTCTAGCATGTTTGATTAAAAAAAATTATGTAGTCCTGATTTGGATTAAACATATTAGAATAACATAACTGTCCGTATTGGAAACATTCTAGTTTAAATATACCAAGACTTTGTCAAAATGAGATCATTGATGATAAGAAGGAGATGGTAAGTTTCAGATGAAAATAAATTTTTAATTTTGAAGAAAATTACCTCAAATTTGTCTGCTATAATTCATTAATGCAGCTGGCAAAATGAAAAATTTAGAAAACAGCAAAAGTCTCTGAAATTCTTATATCTGCTCATTTATATTCTTAAATGTATCATACCTCCATAACCTACTTGTTTGAAAGAACATGGTAAAAATATCAGTAATTGAGGAGCATGTCCATGATGTCATACAATTTATCAGTAATTCTCTCATGTTGGATGTTTCTAACAATGTATTTTGCCAGAAGCTGAAGAAAACCATCCTTCCCTCAGTAACCACTGAACAAGCAGGAGAATGTCTCTTCAGTAGGCAAGACTTAGATTCAAATAGCTGCTCCTAACTAGACACAAAACCTGAAAAAATTCTTTCTTTTTTTATTAAATGGTTAAGTCATTACAAAAATCTTGATGCTTCAATTATTTTAGGATATACTTTCAATTATCGGCTTATATGTCTTGGTTCCCTTTTTTTTTTTTTTTTTTTTAATAAAATGTGTTTACTATTTGAATATGTCTTACAAATATTTTGCTCTCTTTAATTCAAAGACAACATGCAAGTGTCAAAGAAAATTATATAATTTGGTTTACAACAATCAAGTATTCCTACCCAGATAGTAAAATGAAGATTCTTTTGTCTGTTTTCTTTTTAGGTACTACACTATTTTGGTTTAGGGTTTATTTTTGAAAACACAATGCAGGAATTTTTTATTTTTATAAAATACTTGATAGAAGCTCTTACAGGTACCTTAACTGTGATAACTAAATAAACCTAAGAAACATTTATCTGGTGGATAGCACAGTTGACAAACAGTAAACACTGAAACTATCTCCACAAAGAGATCTTTCTGATAATGTTCCAGACTTGAAACAGATATGACCATTATTTTTTAAAAAACCCTTACCTTCATAAAATATTAAACTTTAAACAAATATTGTAAGTTTCAGCTAAAGAGTCACTGCATCTAGGAACAAGATGTTCCTTACATCTCATAGGAGATTACTTTTTATTTTCCTTTGGCAGTAAAGCCCCTCTATTTTTAATCCATCCATAAGGTGCAAAACACCTTTTATTTTTTCAAGGAAGACAATTCTTATGCCACATAATAAGAACAGATAGGTTAACAATCTCATGTAAAATTACTCTAAATTCAATCCTATTTCCTCTCAACCTTGAGATTTAGCTGGCTGGTCTATATTTGCTGCTATTTGATATCTTCACTCAAATCTATCTGAGCTTCTCCCATCATCTCATTATGGGAATGGTGAAGTGGTTACTAATGATAAATCTGTGTAACAGACATAAAAGTTACCTAATATTACCACTCATTATTAATAAAGGAAGCCATATTATTGTGAACAATGTGTTAGTAAGGGGAAATTTGTAAGCGGTGGAAGTGCCAGAAACACTCTGAAAAAAGAATTAAAAATCTCTTTTTATATATTCAAAGGATGAATCTTATGAATAACCCGAACATTTCAGGTGCTGTTGACTTTCAAATAAACAACAATATTATTTGAACTAATTTTAAATATTCTATTTTAGTACATTTACAATTATCTATAAAATTATAAAATAAATTATAAATTATAATTTATAATTATAAAATTATAAAATCTTGGAAAATGAACTGAATTCATGAAAAGTTAAAACTTCCATTTTTGAAGAAGTTCCATTATTTTCCTTTATTTTACCACCACTAGCTACGCATTCAGAAGACCACACAGTTAAAATCTGGCAAGTAATGCTTGGGAAGATCTTGAGTTCATGAAATAGCAGTTTCAAAATGTAGTTGATCAAGGAAGTGATGCATTTTACTGCTTTGTTAAATTAAAAGAAAAAAAAATTGAAAGAAAAAAAATATAACCACCTGAACTGAGTACACTACACACTCTTGTTTCTTCATTTTGCAGCTTTGTTAAT